ATATATATATATACAACACACTCATAACAACTGATGGTAAAAGTTACTTGATTGTGGTATAGAATTGAAATGTGTGTCTGGAAAATACGTAATAACCCCATTATTTGTTTTAAATTGTGACATGCATTCCTCTCAGGCGACACTAGGTGGCAGCATACATCAATTAAACGTCATTTTAAGGCGCCGAAGAAAAGGAYAAACCCGACAACCTTTTGGTTACAAAACATCACCTGTGAGCTAAATCACAGGTGCAAACTGCAGGGAGCGAAACGTGGGGCCAAATGGGAATTGAGGAGTTCTGCAGTCCAGACGGTTCCGATCCGTTTTGGGTAAATATGTCTGTGACCTTCGTGTGTGTTTAAAGTTGTCAGGTTGTTGTTGTTAGCGACACCGGCACATKCTAACAGTTAGCATTTAGCACCGGCGAGTTTCCTGCTTGGACGGACGCCAGTATCTGAGTTTAAACATTAAGTTTAATCAATTGTAATAAATGCTTCTGACAGGACTGTAATGTCCGCTCCAAACACTGAATGTTATGTTGGTTTAATTCTCAGGCAGCAGGTCTGAATCACAGGAGAAGATCTTCACTTTTTCTTTGAGAAAGATTAGTGACATAATGAGTGAAGTTTTGCTCCAGAAGCTTTTGGATTTTTTTGTTACTTCATGTTTTCATCAAACTTTATTTCAAAAATCAGCAAACTGTGGAAACTGTATGCTAAAAATAACACAAATTTGTTGTCTGCGGTAACAAACTCCATCTTTAAAGCGAATAAATGTATATTTCTAATAATTATTAAAGATTAATCTTGTTGTTTGAACCATTTAAAAAAGCGACTGAACCTCCATCGGAAGGTATTTCCTTACCACCAGTTTTTGTAACAACTTGTCATGATGGGAATTACGAACAATTTTTAAAAGTGTCGGATTCTAAAATGCCTCTTTCCTCTTCACTCTTCTTGTTTGTTTGGCTTCAAAACAGAGCTGATCTTATTGTTTTCATCATATTATTGTTTATTTATTTTAATTTTTTTATATTTTTTGTCTGCTGTGTACAGCGCTTTAGTCCTCTATGATTGTTTATTGTTTTCTTCTGTTTAACTTCATTAATCCGAGGATAGAATTGTTAGTTATATTAAAATAAAATATTTGATGAATTACTGAAAGTAAGAAGTAGATTTTGAAGGCGATGAATAAGCAGATTGTTGTTGGGACGCTCAGCCTGGACAGCAGGGAGGAATTTACTCTCATTAGATGTTAATATTGACCAGAACCTCTGTGTTTGTATAAAATCACTTTATTGCCCTCATTAAAAATGGTTTGGAGAATTTAGACCTGATTTCTTATCAGAGGTTCAGATAACTGAGTCTGGTCTGGAGGAAAGAAGTTGAACTAATAATAAGRAAAAGTGAAACAAATCTCAGTTTGGGCTGTAATGATGTTTAATACCTGAAGGAGGTGCTGCTAATGTTTCACTCCCTGAGCTCAGGTTRAACTTTTAAAGAGTGACTGAAAACCTGCTTTTCTTTTTCAGACCTCACTGTTTCTATCTTTAATGTGTGGACAGTAACTATACCTGATCTGTAACTTAGAGTACATTTTATATTGTTCTCAATGACCAAATAACTGTTTTGGTTCTTTAGAGCTCTTTGAGACCACAGTAAAGACTTTCAGAAACTCAGAAAGCTTTCTTTCATCTCAGATGGTCGGAAAGCATCACGGTCACCTCAGAAAGTGATTTAACAACAAACTCGACTTATTTGTTTCCTGCCTACCTGCAGTTATTCATGTGATTTATTAAGAGATTTTTAACCCTTTCATCTCCTTTCCCTGTAGGACTGGAACCGTACATGGCATATTTCTAATCCAGACTTCACACAGTGTTTCCAAAACACTGTACTTGTGTGGGTGCCATGCTTCTACCTCTGGATCTGTGCCCCCRTTTATCTCCTCTACCTCCGGTGCAATGATCGGGGCTACATATGTATGAGTCACCTTAACAAAGCAAAAACTGTAAGTAACCTTTGACCATTTGCTCCGTTCTTGCAGGTTCTCTGCTGGGTGCAGTGAAAACCACCTAACCTCGTTCTTCTCAGGACATCATTTGGCTCATTTTACCAGTCTGGTTACACAGTCTACATGTTGAATGTTGGTGTCAGAAGTAAAGCTGGGCAGAGGTTCACCTGTCTGTGAACAAACACATTTTCAGAATAAAGTTCCTCAGCAGAAAACTGCAGACATTGGGCCTCATGCAAGAACATGTTCGTATTCTTATCCTAAATTTCTCTTACTTTGTTCGTACAAAAGGTTCGTATGAAAATGTCACATCAGATTCAACAAACTCTTCTATCATCAGGAAAAGGGTGTAAATGAGCTGCGTAAATTCCACCTGTTCGTATCCAGCTGCTCGTGCACGCGGAGAAGTAATTTACATAATTACCACCCCAAAAACACCATATAAGGAAATATGTTTCCTGCCACACATACCAGGAAGTGTCCATTCATGAATGACATCGCAAAGTAAAAAAGAAGAACTTTACGAATTCGGAGATTGAAGTCCTGCTCTTGGAGATCCACAAAAAAAAGTCATTTTTAGCAGCGTCAGCTTGGAATTAAAGGATCTGCTTCAAAGCCGAGGAATGAAATTACGACTGCTGTTAATGTCGTGTCTCCTGTGGGTCGTTACAGTCACAGAAAT